TGGAAAAGAAATGGAACAACTCCCATGCCTTACTTAAAAATGAAGGCCGAAAGTATAATGGTGGTGAGGGAAACACATGGTCATGAACAAAGGCTTGGACACATGTCACCAAATGCAAAACACTCCAAACACTCTCTTGACTTGCTAGTCCCCATGCTCACATGATACAACAAGACAAATGCTAGCACAAAAACACACACACACGGCAATAAGACAAAGGGGAAAGGGAATCCTTGGAACTAAAATCTAGTAAGCTACATGACAAAAGGGAAGAGAATCTTGACCATATTTCAATAACAACATGCACGGCCATTTCATGAAATGGGATCAAAATCCACTAACATAACCACAATTAAACTCACGGTAATTAGCTTGAAGAAATAGTACAATTACTCACGCATAATGCTACTACTTAGGTGATTAAATTCGATTAATCACAAATTAAAGCTTAATCATAATAATTAAGCATAATACCTAATTACCAAAATTATTTCGAACGCAAACGGTACGTCGAAATTATTTTCCGGTAATTTCGACTGAAATAACTGAAAATAATTAATTCCGAAAAAAAAATACTATCGGAACTAAAATATTATTACACTGATAAAAGTCGGGATATTACACAGTTGTTACTCGAAGGCAATAAAAAAGACGACTACTCATTGCTTACAGTAAGCGCTGATATGTTGACCATTCAGTTCGGTAAGTCATATACTCCATTAGAGTGTGAGCTTAGGTTTCAGGAATTTAGGGGAAGGCATAAGGTGATGAGGGAGATGAGTACAAAATATGGTATCAACTACTACTGTGAGAGTGGGCTCATGTGGGGACCAAAAGAGGCCTGGAAAAGGGTCTTTACTGTTCGTATCGTGATCACATTAGAAGGTATTCATACATTTAAACCTTATCTACTTTTGTAATTGACATTATTTATTTTACAGGATGAACCTATCAGTCTGGCGTACCAAACTATGGGAGACCCGCTGTAACACCCCGACTTTTTAAAACTATCAGAGTACGCGTTTTTTGCAACTTTTTTCTGAATAAATAAATAAATTATTTATTTTGCGAAAACTGATTCGGGATGCTACCGTGAAAACTTGATTTTTCTGAAAACCGTTAAATTTTAAACTGAATAATAAAACAGTTATAATATATTAACCGACTAGCGTCGGATCAAAAACTGAGTTTAAGTACTGAAAGTTTTAGCGGAATAATAGCGTGGCAAAACATATATACATAAATCCCAAATATCCTGAACAGCCCACCAGCTCACTCCTCGTCCCCGACCCTGCGACCTGAAAAACATGAAATACGTGGGGGCGTGAGCACTAAAACACTTGTGCTCCGCAGAAACTCATACTAATGTAAACATTGAAAATACTAACAATATCATGATCCTGGCATATATAACTGAACTGAAACTGAAACTGAAACTGATATCTGATACCGGTCTGATCTCGCGACATAAGTCACGTAACTGATAATTGAACATCTGTCGGCATAAACTAATACCGGAATCTGCCGGCACAAACTAATACCGGACACCATGTGCACACTCTAGTGGGCAGATTAGGCCACTAGAACCCAGAATGGACCGGCGACCATTCCGAGCGGATACTGATAATACATACCTCAAACATGGTAGCGTAATTATAATCAATGTAGTACTTAGTCTGAGTCCCCACCTGATCCGTGAAACTGAAGGTAAGGCTGATGCCTGATCAAACTGAAATATAATATTGATATGGGATATTATACCCACAAGGCTGAACCGGTCTGTTGACCGGTCGAGGAGGTCATATTATGAGGAAGCCAAATAAATCGAGCAATTAACTAGTCGACCAAGCAATGCTGTCGACCGAACTATCCTTCGACCAGATACGCGATCGAGCAATTTATTCGACCTCAGCAGGTCGACTACTTCGAGGACTTAACACCACGCTGTTCAGCCTAGTCACAGGCGCGTGAAGGAGGCCTCTGACAGAATTCCAGGAGAATATTTACCCCATGTGCAGGGGTACACGTGTTGAGAAAGCAGTGGTGGATAGAGATAACCACCTCTGACAGCCGACCCCATGTGCAGGAGGACACGCGTCCAAAGAGGATTGGTGCAGACGATAGTGGCGACGGCCGCCTCTGACACACGCGTTTGGTGTGTACGGACGGGCAGCTAGGGCAGAC